TTAATTCAATTGTAACTCTTGCAACAAACTCCTTTTCATTATCACTATGAAGCAACCGTGGTGGACCAAAAGCAACTGTAAACTTTATAATTGAACTCCCTCTTCTCTGAATGTGAGAGAAGATAAAGAGAAGACAGTTAAGCTAGTCTTTTTGGAGGAAGGAAGGACTTATAATTTTCGGGGAAACAGTAGCTCTCAATCTTCTCCTGGTTGAGAAGAGGATTTTGGCTGCACTGGCACGTACTATGTCCAAATGCAGAAAGAACAGACAAACAAACTTTCTTCTTTATATATTAGATAGTCCAGAACGAATGATACACTTTCAATCTGTCTTTTTCTCGGAGGGGCTGTCCATTCGAAAGCGTCTGCCACTCAATAGTTTAGAATTTCTATTATGTTAGGAGAGCAACTTGGTCTGAAATAAAGAGCTATTTCTTGAATGGATATTTAATAAAATAAGGATGAAACAAAAACGAAAGGATACGCATACACATACACTTAAACACGCAGGCACGATAGAAATGTGCACCTCTCTCACCAAAATAAAATAAATATCAAAAAATCAAATCATTTTTCAGTAAATGTATCTGTATCTGCACAAGAGAAAAAAGTTGGATAATAATGACTACACGACCGCATACAAAAAGAAACGAAAACGAAGCGAAAAAAATAAGCTTGTGTAAAGAGTAGAAACTACTAATAATCAAAAATACGTTAGATGACACTATCTAGCACATTATACAGCTACACATTTGAGAAAACAAAAGTCGAAAATTTTGACAAGAAATTACTCTCAAATAGAATATGCGTGAAATTGAAAAGTTATTAAAGTATGTATGATTGACAACAGTTAAAATATGGAAATAAAATCATATTTCTAGCAGTTGTCAATACACTACGGATAAAATATTTACGTATTTGACGTTATGGCCAACTTTTCTCACGCACGTGTAACAGTAAATCTTTCTGATAATTCCCATAGGGATATAAAACGAACGTCAAAGTGCGTTTTTCCTGCAGAAATAAAAAGTTGTGCCGCTTCGAACAGATATTGTTTCGACGAACCGAATATGCTGAGGCGATGGAGAAATGCGTTTTCACCTATTTATTCCATTTCTGAACTCGTTTCTAATTGCGTTTCAAACATGTAGAAACGTGTTTTAACCTGAGTTTCGTGTCACTATGGGGTGATACGCTGAAATAAAAACCAGCATAGAATGAACTCTATTCTGGAATTTGTTAAGACAAAAAGTCTCACATATCTCATGAAGAAATTTAGTAGTTCAATTAACTGAACAGCAATCATGTTGGATGCAAGAAAGTATGTTCCCTTACCAGCATTTACAAAAATAGAAAAGACTACAAGTTTATGTTGTAGGATAAACAACGTTCTCTCTTATTTCATTTCAATTATCAGGTGTGAAAAGATCAAGACTCTTTTCTACATTATAGCAAATTGCTTATTCCATTGATTATCATAATATTGCACTTTCGCCCAAATTTCTATTGTTCAGTTCTAAGCACGAATGTATCTCAAAAATTATATGCACGAGTTATTCAAGAGATCATCAGCGTTGTTGACCTAACTACTTTACTTAATAATTAAAAAATAATGTTTTTCTTCTTTAGTTATATCATTTGCTGATTGTAATAAAGTGACACAAGAGCAAATACAAGCTGTTCACAATAAAATTAAAATAATAAACAAAGATTTAACCTGTCAATTAACCACCGATTGTACCGCAATTCCAACAGGTGCACGAGGTTGTGGAGGTCCAAGTGGTTATGTTGTTGTATCAAAATTAAATCATCTTTATTCAACAGTTGAGGAATATGCTAAAAAAACAGAAGAATTAGAACAACAATATAACAGAGAAAACAATGTCATATCAACTTGTATATTCATCATGCCACCACAAGTTGCTTGCATATCAAATGAATGTGCAACGGAACCAAACAATCTTAGATGACATTTTCTAAACTAGTATATATCGATAAAAACGACATGTTTTTATTAAAAGAGAGAATTATATTGAAAATTCATTCAATTTAAGAATAAATACAAAAGTAATTCTTTTAACCTTCATTTAACTCATTTGTTTTCGAATAGCATTTAAACTGTCCTAGTTACCACTAGACCTGTGCGCCGAACCGCTATCGTCGGATAGATAGTTAAGATTTTTGGTGCCGCCGCCGAAGCCGTCGAAATTATTAGGAACATCCCGCCGCTGCCGATGCTAAAAATACAAACTAGTTTTATCCTCTGCCAATAGTAAAAGTTTTGAAATAAAAGGATTATGAGAAATTAGAAAAACAGGAAGTTATATTGTAATTAGCCTCGCTGTTGACGATGGAAAAATTTCAAATTTAGCCGTTGCTCCCGTCAATTTGAACAATTTATTTTAGACGCCGTCGCCGAAGACGGAAAATCTTTTAAGGGAGCTGTGTCGCCGCCACCGATTGGAAAACTTTCGTTTCACGTTGCTGCCGATTTTTCCGGCGAACGCAAAGGTTTAGCCGCCACTCTTCAAATAAATAAATATGGTTCTCTGGGAGTCTTACTTCTAGTCATTTGAAATTTTTTCTAACTTAACTAAAAGGATCTTCAAACATTTGGTTTATCAAAATCGGAACTATTGAAGATAGTTTTCTCATGCAACAGACGTTCTTCAAAAAACGTTTTTCGTTGGATTAGCTGAAGTTAGTCTAATATGGTGGAATATCGGAGTTTCATTAAAAAACTTTTCATTAAAAGGAAGTTCATTAAAATTTTAAGGAAACTTTCTGTGTGTTCGGTGACTCTAGATTTTCATTAAAATTTTTAATGAAATTCTTGTATCATCAAAAAATTTTAATAAAACTGTCATAGTCACTTTGCAGGAGTCATTTTAACGAAAGTGAGGTGAACAGAATATATGAGTTTTTGAGGCTAAAGTTGACACCCGTTGCTCCTTGAAACGTATTGCAATAACCAATATTGAAAATAATCAATATTTTTGAAGTATAGTAAAAGAAAAAATGGCTCAAGTAAAGATTTTAGAATCTATAGATTAGTGGTACCTTCAAACGTCTATTTTATTTTTCTGCCAGAGTGCATTTGCCTTTAATTTTTTGCATGTTCTGCTTGGTGAAACACATATTACTTAATGAAACACTGATTTTTTCGGACTAAAAAGAAATCGTTTGACTCATCTTTCTACCTATTGCTTAACGCACAGTTTATTTTTATTTTTATGAAAATTATTAGTTTTCCAACCATTTTTTTCATCTACTGCTAAACGACATATTGCATAGGTCTGCCTGTATTGATTAGCATTTAATCATTTATTTAGCGAATGTGTCGCTTTCATGCTACAACATATGACTAGGTAATACTAGGATCATCAGAAACAAGTTATTCTTACAAACAGCACATAATTGCATTTTATTGGAGCTTCATGTGTGTTCAGTGGCCCTGGATTTTCATTAAAATTTTTAATGAAACTCTTGTGCCATCAGAATCCTTTTAACGGAGCGCCTGTTAAAAGTTTTTTAATGAAAGTATCGGGACTTCCATTAAAAAAAACGCTTTAGTGAAAGTTTTTTAATGAGTGTTACTCAATCCTATATGGTTACAATTGCCAACACACTTTTCCAGAATATATCAAATTATAGTTTAAAGTTCATCTAATCAAGGATCTAGAGGATCGCATTGTATTTTATCTTCCGTATACTGTTAATTCTAAATAGTTTTCTATGTTATGGAAAATAGATTATATAATCGCTGGTATCTTAGAAGTTCAATAAGGTACTTGAGTGTTTTAATGAAAACTATCAAATGCTCGTTTTAGAAAATTCATAAAATGGAGTCCATTGTAATTACTAAATTATTTTACACATTATCACTATAAACAGTTAGAGAAATTATATCGGGCGATTAATTTTATTATCTTTTTCCACTATTTTGTTTATTTTATATTATTTTTCTTGTCACTCTCAGTCTGACAACGAACAAAGCCAAGTTAATCTTGACATTTTAGAGTCTAGATCTTGAACTCTCCAGAACAATGAATGAACAGATTAGCTTACGGAACAACCTCTCCAGCTAGAATATTTCTGTGATCTTAACTCACACTAAGCAAAATTTCAGCCGTTATCTCGTTCTCTTTAAAGAGACATAAAAACTTTATTGTTATCGTGACTTTCTCTATAAGCAAGTTTTTGAAAGAAGCAGTAACAAGGGTTCAAATACTTCTGGACTTTTCTTAGAACAATATCCTCTATCGATATACTATCATTGAAAACAGATGTGGGCACCTGGTGAGATTACTTCGTTAGTGTTACTCACACTGTACTAGTACGACGCAGAGACCTGAATTTTGAGGGGGGGGTGGGGGGGGGGGGGGGGGGGGGGGGGGGGGGGGGGGGGGGGGGGGGGGGGGGGGGGGGGGGGGGGGGGGGGGGGGGGGGGGNCCCCCCCTTCTTTTGGGGGGGGGGGGGGGCGGCGGCCCCCCCCCCCCCCCCCCAAATTTAAAAGAACAGTAACAAGGGAATTACTGAGTAACTATGCAAAAAACAGAGTTTACACCACCTCGAACGTGAAATTTAAAATAAAGTTTACACTATCTCGGACAAAAAACTTGCATTACACTCCCCCCAATGTTCGGCACCTACTCAGGTCTCTGCTCACTAGTACTGTTTATATTTTTGAGAAGATTCCACCCTACGCGGAGGCTAAAACAGATTTATTAAATATAAAATCTATGCTGGAACGGCACATCTTCGCCAGAGCGGGAAAAAGGAGCTGTAAGACAACCGCTGTTGGTTTGAAGTTTTCAACTTCCTAATATTAACGAAGGTTTTCAACTTTCTAATATTTTGTTAACGAAAGAAAGAATTCCGCATAATTCTTGGTTATTTTTAAAGATTCTTTTTTTTCCCACACGATCTTCTAAGCTTAATGCTAATTAATGTTATTTGCCTATTTAAGTTATTTGCCTAATTTAAGATTCATATTAAGCTGATACGACGACAGCTGATGGGAAATAGTATCGATCCGTCTTTTCAAGTTAAAAAATATTTGGAATAGTTTCTCGAACGGGAAATAACTAAATAATTCACGAATAAGCTCAACAAGTAAACCTTCAAACAACATCCCAAGCATTAAAAAAATGTTAGACGCATCTAGTTAAAAGTCCCTTTAACTAGCAATCTAGATGACAACTAGTCGTGTATTACCCAGTTTTAGACGAAATGTATCTAGATTTTTCTCATAGGTAACTTTTGCTTGGGATGACGCTTGCAAGCATTGCTGTCTTTTGTACTTCTAATGTCCTTGTTGCGCAATGTGTGCAAAATAAATGCTTTACTTTATTCAGCGTCATCAATACTCTATAGGGAAAGATAGTGATGGACCGTAA